GCACTTGGGCACTGGGCGGGGCATGCCTATGTCGAGACGAAGGCCGTGCGCAGCGTCAAGGCCTTACCTGCAGTCTTGTACTGCGCTGCTGGCCCGATGGATGCTCAATCCACGGACAAGAGTGCGCTAGATGTGGGGCGGCGGGCTGCTGCGTCACTGATGGACCAACTGCGGCAGGCCTTGTGATGCGAAGGCTGACGGACATTCTGGCCGCGAACGATCACCCCGCCGCCGTCAGGAGGTGGGGCGCAGTGCGGTCCTGGTGTTGGTCACCGGTGATGGCGAGGCGACTCCAGCATCCTCTGTGTCTTCGGTGAATGATGCCGGCACTGTTTGCGACCAATATGGGAGCCCGGTCTCCCAGCTACCTGAGATTGATACTCCGAAGGACGAGGCAGGTGCGCACGCTGAAGCGTGGACGAGGCAGGTGCGCACGCTGAAGCGTGGACGATGCAGAAACTGGAAGGCCATTATCTTGATAACGAAGCGGAAGCACAGGCTGACTCCCAGGGGAGACCACTTCGTGGCAGTGCGTTGATGCGAGAAGCGTGAGAATTTGAGAAATATAGTCAATGCGCATTTTGTGGGGCGACCAATTGGCAAATGAGGCGGCGCCGCGGACTTGGAGTAGTTCTGCAGGAGATTACCAGAGGAGACGGAGACGGGTGTAGTAGCTACCCTACATGCAGGCGCTCGAGGCTGCGCGTGTGACTTGGCGGGGGGTGGATCACTCGGCGCTCGAGTTGTGCTCGTTTCTCTACGTGCATTGCGGTGCCGTTCATTAGATAGATTGGAGATAGTGCCGCTGCTCTTTATCGGAGGAAGATGGGGGCGAGGTGCGTGCGTTACTCTTTCTGATGCCACCTCGGCCATATATCGATAGCGCAAGCTTCATAGTACACCAATAGGATGACGTTAGAAATGCGCGCGATTGGCGACTCATATACTTCAAAGCGGGCGAGTTTGTCGCGCGTAGAGTCTTCTTGAAGTATGGGAATATGTGCACAGAGAAAGAAAAGCGACTTTTTTACAGTGATTAAATAGGAAGGCTGTGGCGATAGTAGGAAGGTAGAGGCGTGCTGGAGACGATCGGGTGACGTGTTTTGTTACACTACGTAGCTCCTATAGTTGGAAGGGCAAGCAAGTAAGCACTTGCGTAGAGGTGTACTCTAGTAACGGTTGCGAGCGACGACGGCCTCGGATATAAGTTGCTTATATGTACGAGGGAGGCGGGGCGCGGTTCGATGAATATTCGCCGGAAGATGGTGAACTATCGCGAACTGAGGCGAATTCGAATACGGGGCGCGCGCGGAGGGGCTCAGGGGCTCCCGCGCTCCGGGCACCAACTACGAAGCTGCGACGAATGGCTCCCCCGCCACCGCCGACAGCTCCCAGCTATTGCCGGCTTTTGTGGACGCGGGTCGTAAGGTGAACCGGTCGCGGCGTGTGCTCTCAAGTATGCACACGGGTGAAGTCAGCTCTTCTTCGCGAAATTTTCCGAAGGAAGGCCGTAAGACGCGTCGTCGGCGCATGCGGTCCCGCGCCGCCGGCGAAGTGTATCCGTATAGCACCCCGTCGGAGTGGCTGTTTTCATCTGCCGCCGTCGTCGTGCGAGATTTTGCACCCATTGCGACAGCGGAGGACCGACCGTGGCTAGGCTGATGCTGCGGATGGGATGACTTATGTGCTGCCAGAAGGAGAGGTTGCCGTGGAGTTGACGGATGACATGCTTGCGGTTATGGCAGTGCACTTATTGCGTTTATCCGATGCATGAGCAGCGGCTGAATTCTACGACGCTGCGCGGACTTCGCGGGGCGCTATCGATGGGGCAGAAGACTCTGCTCGATCGAGGCTGGACGACAACCGCGCGGCTTGCCATGCTCCAGCAAAACGGGCTTCGATAGCTCGCGATGACGATGTGGATGCGTTAGGAATTGCCCAGGCGATCGTGGTGTACCGGGCGGCGCAATTCGGGGCGCGCCCCTCGTCGGCTGAGCGTCCGCTGCAACCGGGAACCGGAGCACGGAGGCACGCGGCTGCTGATGCTTTTTCTGCCGAACAACGCCGCCAAGTGTCAACGACGCGAGAAGAGGCGCGCGCACTTTGCGCCCGCTCGGAACTTGTCGGCGCTGCAGCAACGTTTTTTGGCAAGCAAGTTGCGAGGGGCCGTGCGTGCTATAGCGCATGGTCAGCGTCAAGAGGCGGCCGAAGTTTCATGGAGTCGCGAACTATACTTATTCGTGATGATATTGCACGGATTTCGGCACGGACTGCTTCTGTTGTGTGAGCGGATTTGTTACCCCACGGATGGCAGGGGTGTGGGCTCGTGCGCATTAGTTAGATGGTCGCCAGCAAAGCCCATAGAGTGGACAGCTTCTTCTCTTGCTAATGGTTTACTTTGTTTCTTTTCCCAGGCATGGAGACGAGAGAAGTCGCTACTGATGGTTCGGGTCGCATGACTTAAAGCGGAGAGCGACAGGACGCGTTGGATGTTCGAAGGTAGGTGGAGCAAAGAATTGGGGAAGAGAGAAACTACGAGGGCAGTCCGGTTTTGGAATAATATGATCGGAGTGCCAAGTGTAACCAGAACTGACAGCCATGAGCTGCCAACAGAAGTGGCACGCTGTGCAGGTCTGAGCGCGAGTTCTGAGCTCGGTCATGTAAGTATGGCAGAACTTCGCAAGTGTTTCGACGTTTGTCAGCGAGGTTAAGCAGGTTCGGTTCAGAACGTAAGAACGGCGCGCACGTAAGTACAAGCACAACAAAGAAGCACGACAGAACAAGGCTGAGAACCTTGAACGATTCCCATCCTATAGCCATCCTTCGGCGGTGTAGTCTGCCTCGGTTTGTTTTGAGCTAGATTGTAACCACTTTCGCACGTATATGCAAGCACGCAGAACGTAAGCAACAAAGTGCGCCAGTTTCCTGAAACTTGGCCTCGACTTGAGCAAAGTACCCAAGTGCTCACGCATTCCCAAGTACATGGGTGGCAGTTGTTGCGTGGAGAGAGCAGTCAAGTACGGGCGCACCAAGATGCGCTCGACGACGTGCGAACGGGTTAGGCGGCGAGGTCGTAAGGCTCTTCCGGGATAGATAGCATTTTAATGGCCCGTCGCTCGTTTGGTCTCGTTCTTCCCGAGTAAAGTCGAATGTTAGTGAGTGCCCGATAAATGTGTCTAGTCGCGAGGCCGTTTCTCTCGAGTATTTCTCTCTGCTTCCAAGTCCACAAATCCGCTCTGATCTCACTGGGTCTTTGTCGCTGTATTTCGGCAGGGATCCACTCCAGCTACTTTGTCTGCTGCGAGTTATTTATCCAGCAAGTCCGTGCGGGGTCAACTTCGTTTTCGATTCTTTTCTCTTCGCCTTCAAGATCGTGCACGGCAAGGAAATCGTTGGTGGGTGCGGGCATCTCCCCGCTGGCGCGGACATAGGATCAGCAGAGTAGGGCCCAGCAGTGCGTCTGTGTGATGGTGAGCCGTATCCAACGTCGCGGCTTCAGCATATGCCCAGAGCGTGCCGGGCATATCTAAACCCTTTGAGGTAGGAAATTCCTAACCCGTTAGTTGGTTGAGTGCCGCCCTCTTTTGCCTTCGAGATTGGAACCGAAATGCATAAATGCCACCTGCCTACCTGGGTGGCTTTTAGGCATTTGGGTGACCCGCCAGTAGCCTTCTGGAAACTGATCGGGGTCTAGAGTGTTCCCAGCTTCTGTCTTGAGTGAGTCGAGAGACGCGGACTTGTTTACGGACAAAAAGCATGAGGGTGGATGAGTAGAAAAATCTCAGATCTCAAGCGCAGCTTAATTTAAAAGGGGGAGAGCGTCCCATCGCTCTCCCTCGCCGATCGTTTTATCTCCCGCCCGCTCTTAGCAGAGAAGTGGCTAGCAGGCATAAGGTAGCCCCTTTGGTAGGAGTAATCCCTCCGGCTTCTGTTTTTCTTTTTGGATATTTTTTGGCGATTGCGGAAGCGGGACGCGGTTGAGGATGGTGCACGGCGCGAAGGAGGGAGCGCGAGGCAGTGAAGATAAGAAAAACTAGCTTAGTGGACTCCCAACAACGAAAAACGTGTTTTACTTAGGGCCTTACGCCAGTAGGCGTTTACTTCTAGTGGTTCCTTTGTCAGTTGATTGCGCACTAGTCAAGAGTTAGCAGGGTTGGCATCCCCTGCGCTCGCGCCTTGAAGGTAGGCGTATAAGAGTGGGACGGTTGGCAGCCGGTGGAGGTTTATATAAGACTCTTAACTCACCTCCTTCACCCCTAGTTTGAAGTCGGCGGGTTCGTAGGCAATTCGTGCGCAGTAATATAAGGAGGCAACCGGACTCCACCTGCCGCCGGTTTGCGAACTGGATAAAACTGGGATCACCCTTCCGGCGGTCTCGGCATACAAAAAAAAAAAAAGACTAGGCCAGGGTGGGGCACATGAGTGAACCTGCGCGCCTGCGGCAAGCGCGCAGCACCTACTAGACCTAGAGTGCCCTGCGCTCCGGGCTCTAGTAGAGACCCACGGGATTCCGGCGAATGTTGGGGCGGCTGCGTCGAACCCGAAGCAGCTCATCCCATACCCCCCCCCCGCGACTTAGCGACCAGCTTCGGCGGTGCGTTCTTGCGAGCGCAGCCGCCGCGACTGCAGTGAAGACAAGGGGAAACGAGTAGCGGCCGCTGTGGTAAGCCCATCGCTGCCCGCTAGGATAGAACGGGGGCTGAGATAGGTGGCGGCGAACAAAGAACGAGCAAGGAGGAGACAAGAGAGGAAGCACGTGAAGACAAAAAGAACGAAGAGGAAGACAAAACGAGAGCGCGAAGAACTGAACAGAGCACGCAGGCCGTAAAGACGTCATCAACTAGACCCGGCCGCGCCTCACCGCCAGGCGCTACCCTCGCGCAGTCGCCGCCGCTTGCAGCACACCGCGCCCGGCATGCCACAAAAGCCGCAGCTGGCGGGGACTGTGGCGACCAGACATACCATAGTCGATCGCAATGACGACCATAGCACAACACACACAGAGCACAGGCCGGCGGGATTGTACGCGTCGCCCGGAGCGCATCAAAACAAACAAACAAACAAAAAAGAAAATTAAAAATTAAAAAAGAGAAAGCAAAAGCAAAAAAGAAAAATCTAAATCAAATAGGAGAAAGCAAAAGCAAAAAAGAAAAATCAAAAAAGAAAAAAGAAAACAAAGGCAAAACTTTTTAAGTAAATAGATCTCTATTTGAAATCTAGAAGCCCAGATACCACCAAAATGTCGTCTTTTCTGGCCGAGCAATGGTACGTAGATCTGGAGATCCAGCGGAGCATCGATCCAGATGCAGATCCTCAAGAGCTGCATGTAGAGTTACTATCCGAAATTGCTGAAGATCAAGGGAAAAACGAAAAGCCGACCCTGACACAAGTCAAACGTGCCCTGCCCTACGCGGAGAGTACTGTCTTAGTGTATGCGGATTGGGAGTCAAAACATGGTCTTATTCATGACGCGGAACAGCCAGAAGGAGAAGTGGAAACTTCGAGAAATACAGAAGAGGAGACTCAGAACGCAACCGACTTAGAAGATTTGGCAATTTCTGACTCTGAACGAAGATCTGGCCTGAGTGGCTTTGCGGTCGCTCAGCGCGATCTCTGGTGTGGGGACTTCATCTCATGGGAAGACTTTAGCACTAGCAGTTTTTGTAGGGTGGCGGTAGCAGGATTGGGGTTCTCGTCATCGGGAGATGCTTCATGTACCTACGAGTTTCCAAACGTGATCTTCTCGAAAGCACGGCGTCCAAGATTAAGGCTAGAAGAAATCCATCCTCGCAGGCATCTTGCTTGGTCCCGTTTGTCAAGGGAAAAAAGACGGAAGATACCGCTGAAGATGGATTTCTTCTAGCTCTAACAAGAAAGCCGCGATCTCTTGCCGATATGAATGTATCAGGAGGAGTCCAAGTTTCAACTAGCGGGATCGTGTCTGTCGACGTTTCCAGCTGCTGCAAAAATCAGGAAGACAGTTTCCGCATGATCGCGACGCGAGATATTTCGAAAGGGGAAGCGATTCGCTTTTTCCCGAGCACGAGGCTGCCCAGGAGTGGATCCGCTGTCAAGGACGAGTCTGTTGTACTTGATGGAACCTCCTCTAATGACACGCCATCGAATCTAGTATTTGTTCCGGAGCTCCTCTTGCTCGAGCCGGATATTCGGAAGCGACGAGATTACTTTTTACGGTGCTACAGAAACGGGGCTTTTGACCCTAGTATCGGCACTAGCATGCCAATTAGCACTGGTGAGCAGGAACAGGGAGATGCATGGACATTGGAGGGTCAGCAGACAGCAGCGCACGCCAGCTCCCAACAAGAAAAGGCGATAAAGTCGCAACTGGGAGCAAAGTCATCTGAGATCCACGATTCCCTCCGCTTTCAAGATGTGCGGGACAATCTATGACTCAGAAAAAAGGTCTCGCGCCAGTACTTGTCACGCTCGTTCCTTAATGAACGCCCGTAGAGAAATGACAAATGGAAATACAAGCGCGATCGCTTTTTTCTGGTTCATGCCACTACGTGGCTTTATACAGTGCCTCTGGTGGCTCTGGCACCATCGGTAGTGTTAATGGACTGGGATTACGGGCGAAGTATGAAAGGTTGATAGAGATCCTGGAAACCCTCAGCGCAAGCGCAAACGCCGGAGGACAGGGTCTCCGAGTCGTGCACTCCATGCCATTCCTCCTTTTAAGGCTTCAAAAAGGTCATCCTCCAATGTGGAGATCCTGTGGGCTTTCATTTTTGGACAGGAGAATATGAATCCGAAGATTGGAATCAGGATGAACTTATTCCAGAGTAGTTTATAGCACGCATGGCGCATGGAGTAGCATGGAGTGCATGGAGCGCAGAGCTTTAAGGGGCGCAAGAAGCTCCCCCTTTAGCTCCATGCTACTCCATACGATCCATGCGCTCCATGCCATGCGAGCTGTGGAGCCTCATATTTATAAGTTGCTCTGTTATTCGAGTGTCTAACTCATCGATCTATTGCCAGTGACTTGTACAAGTTCGGCCTTCTCCTCGAAGAACCAGCTTCAAAAGTCCAATATTTTGCACGTTTGCGGTATGAAGCATGTAGACTAGTTTATGGAGAGTCTGATGAAAAGACGCAGCAAATCAAGTCGTTCATCACGAGACCGCATGATGCGGATGCAATGATGCGGGAGCAGCTCATGCTAGACTCAGACAATTGTATGACCCTCGATCGAACCCGCGAGACGCTACAGGACGGACACGGCCGTCGCTAGAAATCCAGCAAGTGTGCAAGCACAAATGCATCCGAGGACAATACTCGACTGACGATAGAAGAAGGGACGCGTGATTTTGATTGCTGATGATACGTATTCGAGAAATGCCATTCCATGCGTGCCTGCTACATATCGGAATCCCGTTTTTCCCGAGTTCGAATACTGATAAGATAAATTGCAAGTTCACAAGTGCTGTGACATTGCTTCCCAGCGCACATGCTGGCAGAGGCCGAAGCAGGGTTGTTCACAGTCATCTTTTTTTGCATGCCCCTTTCGCGGTGCAGTACGGTAGGGATGCATCATCAACGCTCTCTGCATTCACAGATGGGGTCGCGATGTTGGGCACCTTGTTTCTCACCCCTTGTTGCGCGGCCGTACAGAGCCGGCTCGGTTTTGTCGCGTTGTTTGGGTTGCTCGCCAGTCTCCTCTCGGTCGGGACGCTGCTTTCTGTGCAGTATTACAGAGACCTCGCAGAACAAGTCGTATCGGATGGCGCAACAGATGAGAAAGTGTCGGAAGCTGGCCACGATGCTGCCCTAATCCAACAAGAACTTAACGCAACTGGAACCGCGCGGCTGTAAACCGTCGGGCATTTTTTTTATTGCGGGTGTGTGACAGGCTTGGCGTAACGCGTGACAACAAACCTAGCTTGCAGTAGACCCATCGCCTGCTCGGCGGAAGAGGGGCACTTGGCTGACACTAACTACCTTACGCTCCCGCCCGCGCGTAAGGCTGAAGCTTTTCAGCGTTAGTCTTACCCTTAGCCCGTGCCTAGCTCTATCGCGTGTCAGTTTTCTAAGCCAGAAAGTGTAGACACCATGCGCCAGCATTCGCGTGGTTCTGAATCTTGTCCAATGCTTGGCTCGTACGTAGTACGACTTAAAATGGGAGTCACGAATGAGCGAGGGTTTGCTTTACGATCCACGTTTGAAGCCCATCAAGTAAAAGAAAAGTTATGGCACCATCGTGCCTTTCTAGTGCTCTCGTGTTCCATTTCCGATATTGTCTGGTGCTACTCTATCATGAAGTAGTTGTTCTGCTACTACATTTCAAGAATTGACGTTTTCCACACAAGATCGAAGTACGTTGATGAGAATATAAAATGAGAAGAAAGATCCTCTGTTTTTCGTGAAAAGGAGAAGAAAAAGATCTGTTTTTGCCCATGAGTTGAACCTTGTTCATCTGGAATGTATTAAGGACGAGTCCGTGGTGATTGGATAAAGCTTCGTTAATAGTGAAAATTTTCTGTAGATTCTGCTGGGAGGAAAGGCAAAAATCGAAACAATATTTTTCGAAGATCCTAAATCGAGAATGGCAAGGTACGCTTTCTTCTAAAATGATCTACACCGCATGCCCATCTTTTCCTTTTTTCAAGATTTTTGTACTAGCAGAGTTTAGTCGATCCTTTGTGCCCCTCTTGCATTCGATTTGTCCCTGATCTTGATTTTGCACCTTTGATCATTAATCACACTGGCGACATACCGAGAAAGAAAAGAGACAAAGTTCATTATCCTAAAAGAATTCGATGAAGCAAAGTCTCTCTTCAGAAGCGCCGTCTCTCTTCAACTGCAACTGAAAGAGGTACATGATAGGGAGATTCTTTAGCCTATCGATCAGCAGAAAAGTTATCATCTTCCACAACTAAAACTAAGTAGGGTTCTTTTATGATCCATCTGCATTTTCTGCCCACCAGGCGGGGAAATAGGGGATTTTTTTTGTAATTCATCGTTGACCGTACGAACGTGTAGTTGCATTCTGGTATGAATTGTTGAAATCGTTTTCTTATACCTTGCTCAGCAATTGCTGATGCTAATTAAAGACAGAGGGCAAAGGCATAGGTGTTTTCAAGTAGTCAGAGCTTGATAAATCATAGTTGCAGAACTCACTGAAGACGACCGGGAAGATTCATTTAGTGGCAGAACTTCCGCCAGTTTATATGCATTTGCATGTTGCTTCTTTACCTTCACTTATACATAGCGTAGCTTTTTACAATCATGATATCCAAACATATCACGAGGTCAGGGCAGCACCCTATCCTACTTATTCTAATTTAAGATAACTCAACAAAAGTTGAAGGACAAAATTGTTTTCGAATTCACTCTTCTACTTCTAGAAGTAACAAAACGAGGATGACAATCGCACTCGCAGCGCCTCAAGCAGACTTAGAGTCTGTGCTTCTTGCGATCGGCGGCGAGGAGAAGACTCGTAGTCAGCGCAAGAAGGAAAAGCTGAGACTCAAAAAGCAGATGGAGCAGCAAGAGCTACTTATGCAGAGACAGGGGACCACAAGGACGATGGAGACACCAGCTACGGATTCATCAAGTACCTCAACTACCACAGCGATTGTTTCAGCGCCATCCGCGCCATCGACGAAATCGACTTCCGCTTGTTCAACATCTAGTAGTAGTACTGCAACTTCTACTGGTCGTGCCACCTTTAAAATGAATAATACTGGTGTAAACATGAGCATGAACAACAAGATTGGAGGAAACGCCTGCACGAAAATGGCACGGGCTCCAAGGACCAGCATTACAGAGGAGGACTTGACATCTTTGATACCGGATTTGAAGGCGCAAAAATCCCAAAGAACTAGAGAATGATGTGGCCGATCAAGTCGGTACTTCCACGTCGACGATGAGGAGACGCAGTCACCTTCCTCATCTTCCTCAACAACCTGTGCTTCATCTGGCGGAAAGAAGGAAGGAATTTTTCTCAGTGCAAGAGACGACCTGAGCACTGGTTCTCCGGCAACATCTTCATCAGCTTCTTCCTGTAAAACGACATCAAGTTGTAGTAGCTCGTCCTCAACAACAATATTAAATAAAGTTTCAATAACAGGGACCACTACTTCCTCTTCTTCCTCCAGCTCTGCAATCAGACCCCGCCCTACAGCGATACACAGCGACTTTCACGACCAAGTGTCTCTCCTCGAGCTAGCAGAGATCCCCAGGGCAACTCTAGCATCAAGACAAGCCTCCGTTATAGACCCAGAAAAAGACCTTCTAGACGAGCTGCGATCTTCTCCCCATGGTGCAATGGCGGCAACTAGCGTAGTCTTTCGGAAATTTGATGGCGCAGTGAAACCCACCGAACTCGTGGAGCAGGTATCATCTAAGTGTGAGAAACTAGAAATACAATGCACTACTTCGTATTTTTCCCTTCACAACTATAGTCCACTAGTTCTTCTCCATCTTGTTACTACAACTTGTATCTAAGGCTAAACTGTGACGAGGGAGATGAAACTCTACTCCTACCCTACTGTCGTACAGGAGCCTCTAGTTGTACTAGGAGTGCCAGTTATTCTGAATGTAGTTTCGCATTTGTTTTTTAAACATTGCGCAGATTTGGGAAGCTGAATTGCAACGACGGGCTTGTGTTGCGCGGGGAGCGAGTGAGGAAGAGGGGATATCGCTACCACTTCTACCATCGCAGGCGACGACACAGGACGCAGCCTCAAAAACACCGAAGGGTGCATCAACACCAGGCGGAACTAAGTCAACGAAGAAAAAAGCAAAAGAGATCACGGTACAAAAATGAAGAAATCAATTAAGTGTTCCTTCTACTTCTTGTGTCCGTCGATGATCCTTCCTCAGCACACTGACGTTCTTGAAGTTGAGATATGCTTAAGTAAAAGTAATCTACTAGTATCCATCAACCGCATCATTTTCTTGACAACATTTTCATTTTTCGTGACATATTGTTACGACACCAAAACCAAATACAGGTAACTTTTCATTCAGAGGTGAGAGCGAACGTCCCACAGGCAACACCAGAGATGCAGAAGTTAGTAGAACAAGCTAAGGACTTGTTCGCTGAAGAATTTGAGGAGGAGTTTGCTTCTCAAGTATCAAAAAAAGGCGGCTACAGACTCACGCTGATGGCAGATGAAGCGGGTAATATTTTTCTACTTGCTGTTCAGTTGCTTCGTGTCAGAGATCTTGATCAATCTCACTACAGCGTAGCACTGGTGTGATGGTTTAGACGATCACAAGAGCTACATACTCGATCATGCTTTCTGATGAAATTAAGCATAGGCAACAACATATTTTTTGCTATGATTCATTGCTCCTTCATCTCCCCACTTCATTGCTAGACGATGTATTTCCCCTTTTCCGTTCCAGGTGACCTATGCAGCTTTATTATGTACAAGACGAACCCCAGCGAGAAGTGCTTGTCTATCGCGCACGTGGCGGTCCCTTCTACCAAGAGGCGACTGGGCTATGGCCGACGAATCATGAGGTGGCTGATTCAATATGCGAAGAAACAGCCTCGTTCACAGATTGCATTTTTAGCCCTCTCCTCTATGCCAGGGAGCATTAAATTCCACCAGAGTCTGGGTTTCAAGAAGAGCGGCAACAAGTTGACGAAGAAAGAAGATGAACCAGTGAAGGAAAAAGATATTGAATACGCAGAAGGACAAGTCTACATGACTTATCCAATCAAAGGAGGGAAGCGCTAAAAACAGCACGAGGATGAGCCCCTACACATCGATGATAATGATCTTCAACGTCGACCTCGCCGCCACCTCGCAATTACTCATATTAAACTTCCTATTGATTCCTAGGAACTGCCCTAAGCCACCCCTACGACACTTCAACATCTTTCCCCTAACAGCCATTCTTACCCCCGCATCTTCGTTCTTTTTTTGAGCAGAGCTTCTACATTCATTTCGGTGTTTTTTCTAGTACATTTCGATATGAGATCACTATCAGCATGTGTGGTTTTCTTCGCGTACATTTTGATGTAGCGCACCTTGTAAAATGTTGAGAAACTTTTCCTTGTCGGGGGACGAGATCAACTACAATCGATCCCTCCTTTCATCTTCCACCATTTTGAAGGTGATTGCTTACTTCTCGTAGGCTAGTAAGAGCGTTCTCTTCCAGTCTGGGGCGCGCATGTAGTTGTTACTGTACAGAACTAGTACCAGCATGAATAGCTTTTTTTACTCAATACAGTCTACCTTTTGTCCCCGAACTCCCTCTTGCTGCGAAGGATTTTCAATGATAGCATTGAGGATCCATTCTTCTTGTTTGGTACATTACTATCATCATGATTTTAGGGTGGACGAGAAGAAAGCCGTCGATGCCTTCCTTGTCGAGGAAGTATCACGTACACGTAGTACCAGGACATTGAAGTTTTCATCTATCTTCTATTGTACAAGGTCGAGGCTGCAAAACACTTCTGTCATAGAAAATTCCAGGATGTCAAGGTCGTCGACGACAAATACGAACGTGTAAAGATTGAAGAGTCTCGTCGGTTTTCAAGTACTAACGCGGGACTACGCACTGGAGAATAAGTAGTTCGGAACGAGAACTCCAGATATGGCTTACGCCATGTCAAACCAGGCGGGGCTAAGAGAAAATGTTAGTGTACACCCTTTTCCCTAGTCTAGAAGATTAGAGACCATCTTCATCCTGAAACCACTACTGTGATTCGTCGTAGCAGAGCTTGATTTGGTGCGGTTCCAACACGTACCTTTTGCCGTCTTCACAGCATCTTTCTCCATTCCGATTTCTCAACAGCATATGCAACAACCACATGAAAGCCATGTTGAGGGCGAGCATGTACTTACCTCCTGCTGTTCATTCTTCGTTATACTTATTATTTGAAAATGTTCATTGTTCCTCCTGCTTGACTTCCTGTTGTCGCCTCCAAGAAGATGAGCGGTTGGAAATGGTCTCTGAGTCGCCCTGCCCTACTCGTTATACTGATTTTCAATCCCATGGGCCATTGCAGTGACTGCATCAAGTTCAGTCACCTGAAGCGAGGAGTATATATAAGAGACGATCGCTGAACGGTTGAGATGGTGAGGTTTTTTAGGAGTTGAGCGAGGGAAACAACTACACCTTCTTTAGTACTAGCACGACAAGAGCGGGCTTTGTGAATATTAAGCAGCAACGAATACACCAGCTTCATTCAGGAATATGTTGTATTGAAGACACGAAGACTGAAAGGGGTGCTATGATGGCCTTTTAATGTATAAATATGTATGAAACTGAAAGAATTCGTGGATAATAGATTGTTTCATGATTGTGGTGGTACTAGTTCTAGCATATTTTCCATACGATACGGCTCAGAACCAGCACAGAAGTGAGTAGAGGTAAAGCAACACTCTTCAGCCTTCTGCACAGTCGAGTAAAATAATTTTCGTAATTTTTCTATCTTGTACCTGACAGACTGACATCTGAATTTACGTACTCGAAACATGTACCATGGATGACCAAGAATGGCAAACCTGAAAATGTTTTTGTCTCAGCAACAACAGCATTACTTATTCTCATGTTGACAGCTGTGCAGGCAGGCGTAGTTTAAAGAGTGACACTGGAAGCACGTAGCGCGTTTCGTAGCAGTTTTTTGACTTCTCTTGTGGTGTTCTGATACTGGATGAAAGTAAGTATCGGTTGTGCGGGGGATAACATGAACTAGCAAGGCGATCCCGATTAATGAAATTATCAGAGCCGTTCGGTCTACTCTCTGATGTATATTTTTCATCATTTTCACGACCACAAGGCCCGAGAAAACTGAAGAAGTAAAGCAGCGACATGGCAATATTATTGTAACTTAGGGGGCACTCCTAGTAGAAGGGTTATTTACTTGTATTACAAATCTCCAAAGTTTTTGTCTCACCTCACACGATATTGAGAACAATTAAGGAAGTAGAAGGTGAAGACATCCCACTTGGGGCTGTATCGCTGGGGGCGATTTCAATGCGCAAATGGTTGGTCGCTCGTTTGGAAAGCAAAGGGGACCACTTGATTTGCATGCTTTTACTTCGTCATGTTGAAAGAAAGTAGCGAGGTCTAGTTTCGAACGCCCTTCAGTCTTCATTTTATCTATGTGCATCATCCTCGCTGCGGGTGTGGCGCATGTGCATCTATAATTACGTTCAAGGATGTATCTGATGGCAAGAGATATGTTATTCGCCACTCTTGCTGCTCTTAGTCCTCCTTTCCCCTCAGGACGAAGCCGCCCTCGATCGGCGACAGTTCTCCTTCCTTCCAGTGTGAAGAGCCTATCTCCGTCTCTACAGTTTCTTGCTGCAAGAAAAATAAAGTTGTTGTAGTTTCTGTATTTTTTTTTCCCCAAACAGCTACTGGTCAGTGGCGCCACAATACGGGAAAATTTAGGGTCTTACTCATCGATTTGTACCACGACCACTTCAAGGTCGCGCCTTGATATTTCGTCGATGTGTACTACAACTGCTACTCTCTCCGGCTCATTCATTGTTACTGCATCCATTTCCTGTACTTCATTCTCTGTCATTGTATAAATGTTCAAGGCGTATTTTTATCAACTACAGTTGACTGTTCTTGCATTCGTACTACAAAGAACAGGGCGGGATGATAAGTCACATCGATCTTGAAGAGGATTTTGAACAGCTCAGCCAGGCATGCCTTTTTCCATTGGGTTTATCCTGTTATAATCAACTTTCTCCCTCTCTGTTATAATCAAAGGTGTGTAGGAATACAGAAGCACAATCAACATCAGGACCAGTTGGTACACGGAAACGTTTGCCGAATATTTGGAGACAAAGGGAGAGTATGCGTTGCTCCTGGAGGATGGTCAACATCACGGGGCATTGAACCAGGTCGGTCCGTAATTTGACCGAGGAAGTTGTAGAGTAGATCTTCAGTCGTGCTCGTGAGGAAGTCGTCATCTGTCTGTTTTCTGCCGTGCGGTCTTGCCAGGCTGGACGAGAAGATGCTGTGCCAATTCTGTGAAGATGAGGAAGATGGACCTTCTCGTGGTGCGTAGAGAGTGGCCTGACGTGGAATGACACCGGTCGTGGATTTTGACATGCTTATCCCTTCCACTTTCTCCCTATCTACTTCCAACTGCCTCCGCGAGCTAGAAATCGTTTGGTGAAAAATCTCGTTCTTCAAACTTTGTCTGGCAGTAGATGACACCGTTTGTAAAGAAATGCTTCATGTTGATTTCGACTATCAGACAACTATTCACGACTCCTGTAAGTACAGAATGAAAGACGGCTACAACAACTACTTATATATTCGGATTTTGTAGGCTCCTAACAAGTAGTTCAATGTGATGATTGCGCCTTCCATGCGTCATCGTAGACTAATTTTTCATCTTGCTTGGTGCTGGTGGTGCAGTTCGCAAACAACAGGCTTAGTCGAAAGAGCGGCTGATCAACTAGTACTTCCGTGACCACAGGTAGTATCCCATTCGCTGTACGAATTGACTGTGAAGAACCAGAGTACACGGAGGGCTGCATCAAGTAGGAACGAGAAGCTTTTCAGTTAGGAAGAAAGGGCTATGGGAAGCTAATCGCATCATCTGAGGTCGGATGAGACTACGGGGCGACCAGTTGATGCACTGTGGTCGCCCTTGGTTTTATGGCGTAGAAGTCAGCAACTAGAACTGCATTTTCCTTCAAATAACAGTGGTCCGTCACCACGCAGTCGGACAACCGTCATGAGGCCGCTCAGGCGCCACTAGTACTACTCGCTTCAGTGCCAATAAGATCACATAAAGTAGAACGATTGACGGTGGACCATCTTCTTCTTCATCAAGCGGCGACATACCACATAGTGATGGCATTACTCCTATCCTCATCGTTACCAAAGGCTGCCACTGCTGCAGCTGAACAACTACTACAGCACAAGCAAAAGCACGGGAAGGTTACAACATCGTAACATAAGGCGAGCCAGGTGGACACTTCTTGCGTTGGAGTTCTTCCCCTACGCGTAGAACTAGAAATCAAACAGGATGCCAGTGTGGAATACAGAACCGCTAATGCGGACAGATGGCTTTCGCAGGGCTCGATCAGCACCCACTTCCAGCACAGCACTCGTCCAGAAATTCAGCAAAACTTACTCAGATAGGTACTTCTAAGCAACATAGTTGTTTCATGAGGAAGATGATGAACTTCATGATGTAGTAGTAAGTAATATGCCTTGCGTCGAGTTAGAGCTGACAGATAGAACTTGGCGTCGAAAGTCTACACATTAATTCTTCTGATTCTAAATCTAACTCTTGTTCTCCTTCTCTCCATCTCCCTCTCCTAGGTTTCGACCAGTAACGTATGCACCGCCGACTTATTCATTGCGAAAACGCGTAGTGTTTGGGTCTATGCCAGCTCTCTCGGATGGAGATAAGTACGAAATTCGAAGGAAAAGTATGGTATTTAGCTTTGCTTGTGGTCATGAACTAAGTCCCTTCATCCAACATAAGACTCAGCTTAATAATACTAGTCTCCTTTCTAAGAGAAAGAGCGCTGCAGACCGCACTTTCAGAAAGCACGTGAGGAATTGGAGCGTTAGGGAGACGGTAAAGTGGATGCGAGGTGCCTTGGAGAGGCGAGGACGAGCAGACTTAGTACTACGAATCATTTTATTTCAGAATACGAGTTAGAGAGCTAGACAAAACATAGTTGAAGTCTATCATCATGTTTTCTTATTCCGTCATTTGCATATCCAAAATTTCGTTCCGGATTATTTTCTGTTTCGTATAGATTTCGTGTCTTACACTTGCGTCTTTCTGTTCCCATAGATTTAGGACCATATTTTTTATGGGATGAGTACTCTCTCGACCCGTCTTGGAACACTGCAAGATCTATGGGCCGATCGAACGCTTTCCTTACTTGATATACATACTTTGATGATTAATGCTTGATTATTTGGATCTATTAGCTTTCACCTGTACATTGACGCGTTATTTACGGCATAGAGAAAGAACATCCGCCGGATCTTGAAAGTAGGAATTGACTGATTGCCCATGCAGGTTCTGATCAGTTCAATTGCTCTTTCTGATCGTTTTTTCTGTGAGTTATTATTTTCTCGTGGCGCTTCAGATAGAACGAAATGAATGAAAAAGTTTGCCGGTAGAATTCTCTATCTCTAAGCATTGTCTATTTGCTCATGGTGCTTGTGAAGATCGAATGAAATGCAAATGCATGGATGAAAAAAGTTTGCCTTTGGTCATCTTGATTTTCGCTCTCCTCTTGATAATGTCGAAGTCTCTAATCAGCGACGAAGTGGACGGTAAGGAAGTCGAAGGCAAAGAGATATTAGGGTGGAGCAGGTAGTCAATGTCAAGTCCTCCAAAAACTACGGAAATAATTTTCAGCTACAATAACTAGTACTTTGAAGTAGTTCGTTGACTTTTGCTTGTTCACTCAAATTTGCAGCTACAACCTTTGAATGACAAGTACTGGAACAACTAGCGAACGACATCGATCCACAATCTATCACAAGCTGCTGCTTAATATTTTCAAGATGTTGTCACCAAAAGCAAAATCAAACTTTAGGGAAGTATTTCGGGATGATATTTGCAAGGGTGATGCTGATCTTGGCTGCTCACTATGGGATGAGTTGCGGTGTTTAATCGAAGAGTAACTCGCGACAACGGCCTATAACGATCTGTCACACGCAGTCAACTTTACAAAGTACTACTTTGCTTGTGAGTTGGATTTTGCGTCAAGACCTCCTGCAACAAGAACAAGATAACCAATGCCCATACGCTGCGCTGGTTTGTTAGGTTATTCACTTCCCACCTCCTCGTCCTTTTGCAACATCTCAACTACAGTATCCAAGAAGCCATGAACAGCTGCTACACTGGTGTCCCAAGAATCCCCCTCATTAAGAGTATATTCAACGAAAACTTAATCAACAAAAACATTAGATACACTGCCCCAGTGTGGTCGTGCAGAAAAGCGTTGAAGACTCTAGCGAGCAAGACACAACCACCAGGCCCAGGCCAGTACAAGCAACCGACTACGATAGGAATGTCAACGAGCGGCCGTGGGCATCCGACAATAAAGCAGGAAGCTAGATTCGTAGTCTTAGACATTGTTGATCCATGATCTTGGAATAGAAAAGAGTCTTTCCTCCGACTCCTGCGAAGATTTACCAGACATTCTGACTCCCGTCTGCTCGGTTTTTGATGGTGAGTATTGCTCTAATAATTATAACGTCTTGTGGGGGAGTTCTGCTGATGCTTCAATCACACTCTGTCTTCACCTCCACCACACGACACTAGGCTATGCCACAAGGGGGACGAGGAGTCAAGCCGCTGAAGACTCCAGGGCCTGGTGCACATTTCACCCCTGTTGAGAAAGATCACAGACTAGTTTGGGGAGCAAGATGGAGCTTCCCTGGAAGAGGAGACTGTATCTATTTTTTACTTTCGAGCACGACGAGGAACATCATGTTTTACCGCAAATCATGATGAGTGTGACGTGGATGAAGTTGAAGTCAACAAGAATTTTTACTGGCACTAATGAAATCTTCATCTACAATAGAAAATACAGCTGGCCTAGTAAAGGAGGGCGGACCACTCGGTGCCTACGACGTGGACAAACTAGCACGCACAGGGCCATTGACTGCGCCTTCGTGGACCGTGAAGAGTCGAATACCAGTGAAAGAAGGATTCCAATTATGTCTATTCCACGTAGTGATCTGCTAGTAGGTTGAATGCAAAAAAGAACTACTTTTCTTGTTCTCGTCATCGACATCTACAACCACTTCTAGAAACACAAACTGAAGATTTCCGAATACTTGCGCCTAGTGCGGCTGCAGGAGCGCTTTATACCGTTTTATATCATCCCAGTACTCGTCAAGCTAGCAATGATTGAGACGTATGGATTTTGCTCCTCACTGTGATGATAGAGATAGATGCCCCCTCTAACCCCCTCTCCTGGGCCTGCGGCTTACGATCAAAGCGGGCATAAGAAAAAGCAGCTAGGCGAATATGTGTATTGGCCCACACAAGGAGAGGAGTGCAGTCGCAACATCACACGTAAGCCAGCCTGGAGCTTCAGAACAGCATGGAGGGCACAATAAGTAGAAAGAAGCACGACCATGATCTACATAGAGGTCTAGGTCTAGGACTCTAGACTAAGAGACTGTAAGTAGCGGTATTAAAAGAGCCCTAAGAACACAGGATCGCAACTATTATGTTTATTTCGTCTAACTTGGCAGCAGAAGTTTATCACTCTTCACTATTATAATATACCTATAAAGTCTACATCTTCTTAACCAAAGCATTGGCAAGTCGTTCTTCTTAACATAACAAGCATTGGTCTCCCAGTTGGCTTAATTGTATTTGACGCATCTTCCTGCATTTGTAGTTCTCCAACGCCATAATATGCTAAAATCGCTTCAACATAAAAAAAGATGAACTTCACACATAAAATAATGCCAGTATGATCACATCAACAAAGGAACTCTCCAGATATATTCAGCCTACTACAGGAAAAATTGTTACAAACCTGCTCAAGGAAAATGAACATGTTCATGATGATGTATGATTAGGACTAGCAAACACTCCCTCAAAAACTTCAACACAGCCTGCATAGAAAATATTTCATCAGCATTCACGATACACATACTTCAATATTTCTAAGGCCTGCATCGAGATCCATAGCTACCATGCTTTCACATTGGAAGACTCCAACACCCGTGTCCCCGACAAAGATCGCCGTGGTCCTCTATTCTGGTGTATGAAGCCTCTACTTGTACGACTAAAATGAGTGGTCTGCTGAAGGTTTCCCGACTTAATTCGGTGCAGAGTTCCACGAATTCGAATCGGTCTCTCACGATGCGTTGGATGTGTATTGAGTGAGTGAAGAGATGGGCGCTTAGGTACTTCTACTCAGTTGTAGGTGCTTGTTAGACAAGCCCACGCAGATGCACAGAGACAGACTGACTGACCGAATCCGTCGAGGGAAGCAAGATAGTGAGAAACTGGAGTTCTTTGAGCAGCAGTGGACTGCCTTGAGAAAAA